TTAACTGGACCTTATACAACAAAGTCTGCAATGTTTGTCTACTAGGTAAAATACAAAATTTTCTTAACAGACGGTACGCTTTAGGTGCAGGTTTGTATAGCGATAGCGCTAAAATCTTTTCATCAATGGTAAATCGATGCCCTTGCTTTTTCTTATTTCCATGTGACATTTGCATTCGGAAAAATAATTTTGCAGTAGGTGACATATTTTTGGAAATTATTTTGAAAGCAGAGGTTTTCATTAAAGATTTAGCAAGAGCCAATTTTTGTTTAAAGCTCCTTTTTTGAGCTTCACATTTTTTCAGTTTATTCACAATTATTTTATATTGTTTATGGTCTTTTAGAGAAACACCTGCAACAAATTTTATGAAATGTAAATTAAAGCCTCAAAAATAAATAGTTTCTTTTTTTTTGCATTACAAACTGTACAAAAATGTATGTCTATACTCCATTCATTATAACATTAGAAAAAAAGAGGATCTCAGAAGCAGCAATGCAGAACATTTTATTTACAAGATAAATTTATAATACTTTTGTTGAAATTTTGAACTTTAGGTAGTCTGAAAGAGTTGGGCAATTTTACATTTTCTCGGGGTTGAGATGAGACTAGCATTTCTAAATTCATCTTTTACTGGGAGCCAACATGGAAATAAAACTATCTTTCTATTGTTTTGATTGATTCTAATTATAAGTGAATATAATTACAATATAATTTAGTTATATCTATGTCCAGAAAATAAAGGTAAACAAAATTAAATTTTAATTATTACTGTTATAACATTTATTCAGATATTATTAGACTATTGATTAAGACATTAGAAAAACTTGCTGAAATGTCAAAGGTAATTGTTGTAGGCCACTCGGGACTGCATCGGAATCGCAATTTAGCAAAACTTAACAACAAAAAGATAACTAAAATAAAACTATAAGAAAATAACAATAAAACAGTGATTACTCAATCACCGAAAATGGCAAAACAACAAGAAAGGCAGTTGCATCCACAATGAATGACAATCCCAGATTACGTATTTTGACTATTATGAATAAATCATTATCTGACAAAATTAAAAATCTGTACTGCCGAAATGTTTGAAGGGATTGGGCAATGTTTTTTATTTGGTAGAGTTATAGTGACATGGGAATCGTGCCAAAACTATCTAACCCTGCTTCTTTCGGTTCTTTAAGATGAACCTTTTTATTGTAATAATTATTAAATGTTTTAAGTCAGTCAAATACTCATAAATTTCAAATCAAATCAAATCAAATCAAATCACATGATTCTTGACAGTTTGATTCACAAAGTATACCATAAAAAGAAACTTATTTTAATTCTGTCTAATGCTATAATGAATGAAGTATAGATGATTTTATTACAAAACTGAATATTTTTCAGATTTGCAGATTGTTTCCATTTTCATGCAGCAATTTTCAAATTGGATAATTGAGATATATTTTTGCAAAACATACCTTTTAATTTTCTTGGCAACTGTCGTTTGGCAACAGGTGTTTGTGTCTTTCCAAGGTTTGTATGCTGACCTGGAAATAATAACAAATATATTTATTTCATGGATATCATTGGCTTATCAGTCTCTGGCTCAAAATATTAAAGATTGGCCTATGTTACACAACATAGATTTGCAATTTTGAACAAAGGGACATTCAATTTTTATATGACTATATGTCAACTCATGAATTTTCCTTTATATAAAAAATAATATTATATTTAAGATGATTATTCAACTATTTTAATTTTCATCAGAAAAACGTTTACCAACCTGATGTGCCGGCATATAGTTGAGAAGGTACAGAATGTGAGCTACATGGCAAATCTGCACTTGCAACTATGTGAGGTTCTCCAGTTGATTGTGCTGAACATGAAGAAAAAGACATTTTATTTAAAGATTAAAATGTACTTGTATGGAAATTAGGAGCATTATTTGAACAATAGTATAAGAAACTAGCTTTCGCCCACAAGGTCTTATATTGTACATATAAACCTTCCTCTTGTACCACTCTATATAATGATGAAAACCACATTAAAATCCATAGTGTTTTTTATAAGATCTAAGCTTACAGACATCAGAAATCATATTTTTACTTTAAGTTTTTATAGTTTGAAAAATAATTCACTAGTCATCGTTAATCACAAATGAATGAATTTTAATGCATAAATATATGTATAGGTCTTTAAATATATAGGTAGACATTCAATATGCAGTATTATTTATAAATAATAAATTACCTGACATATGAAGTGTAGGCATTGCTATGTTGCAGAGTCTATTTTTGGGATATTTATAAATATCTAGAAAATGTTTTCAACAAATACGTATGTTATTATATATTTTGATTGGATCCAGATGAGTTATTTCTCCACCAACATTATCTAGCCATTTTTTAAATTTCTCCGTTTTAGTTCTAGGGTCAGGAAACCAGTGCAAAGGGATACCTGAGTAACATAATAATATGTATTATTCTCTGCTATTCACACAACAAATTATCAGTCCTAAATTATTTCTATAATGGATGAACAAATAACAATACTTAAATTGTAGGCACATAATGAGTTTTTTAATGAATATTGTATTCTACGATAGCTTAAAGAAAAATACCTGAAAAACATTTGAAATATAAAAACTCCACGTATAGGTATAAAAATTGGTTGAAAACTTTAGATTTATAGTACAATTCATAAAGTATTTATTGTACGAACTAAAAAGCACTTACCGCTATCCTTAGTCACTGAACATCCAAGTACACAACAACGGTTTTGAGCCATGATTTTTGAGCAAAGTTCAAATTAAAAACAAGTAACAGTTCGGTTCAGGATATTTCAAGATACAATACGATTGCTAACACAATATATTTCGAATACACGGAGAAACTTAATCAACTCAACGTGAATAGCAGAAAAAGTTACAGGAACTTGCAAAAACTAATAAAACGCACGGACATTCACTCAATACCAATTTCCATTTGCGAAGTTAGTTTTAAAGTTTACCCACAATACCATACGATAACATACGCGCCATTTTCAATTGATATTACCATAGTATATTTAATATTACCACTTAAATTAGAAACATTTCTAGTGACAATTCTATAATAACTATATTATTCTGTAACAACATATGTTATTTCAATAATATTAGAAATCATAAGGCTTTGTAACTAAGTTTCAAGTAATAATAAACAAGATTTATTAATGGTGCCTTTAAAAATTATCCCCAATTATAAACAAATTTATTTATTATGGCTACACCATGATTTCTATTTTAAAAGCTGGTACATAGATGGCACTGTAAAGTAAAAAAAATCGAGTTCTAAGTTTGCATAGCATTGTTTTGTCTACACTCAAATGGCACATTTCTCGGGTGCGCTCATACAACATCTCACTCTCGATCCGAGAAAATGACATTTGGGTATAGACAAAGCGTTTCTCGAGTTTGTCATGTTACACGTGCAGGTCCCGCCATTGTGTGACGTCACTGTGGCGACAAAGCTGTCTGATTAGTCTAAAGATATACCTAATAATTATAAATCCAATTCCTAGATGGCGTTGTTCTCAGCTTATTCATATCTTTTTATTTCGTAATCGATCATTAGATGGCATTGTTTTTATTTTATTGGCATCTTTTAATTTCAAATCTATGCATCTGTTTTGTGCATAGAGTAAAGGTTTTTTTCTACATATCACAATGACGTCATGAATATGGCGAGCGTTTTCGTGGGTAGAGAAATAGTTTAAATTTTGATTTAATTTTAAAGCAATTAAACAGGGTTATTTTTCGGATAAACTTGTTTTATGGCTGTTTAAGTTAAAATAAACCATTACAAGTATTATTTTAAACAGAGTAGAATACCCCTATTTAGTTAATAAAGTGTCAATAAATGCTTTTGCTTTTTTAATATAATGAATGGCCACATAATCTTACGATAAAATTCTCATTGAATGTAGTGACGTCGAAGACTTACTAAAGAACATAGAAGATGCCACAGACGAGTTAATGCTCTCCTCGCCGGAATATTTGTCGTTCAAAGAACTTGCCGCCAAGATGGTGGACTGCGTATCCAGTGGAGATGCAAAGATTTTGATCATCGAAGAAGGTTATTTTGCAGCTTGATTTCGTGGTCGCTCTTGACTCTAGTATTTAATTTTTTACATACTCAATTGATTTAGTTTTTCATTTTCATAATTGCTGCACGCAGGTATGTTTCTGTTTCTTGTTCTTCTTTTTTTCTTTTGCCATGTAAATGTCTTGTGTAGCGTTTTGCAATGAGGACTAACGCATTTGAATTTGTCACAAGAGGCGCTAGTGCAGCGTGAGGTCTTCAAAATGTCAGATATCATACTTTGTTGGTGAACTACACGAGATTACGAGCGTTTATTTTAAAACAAACGAATTTTGCTCTTACTTTGTGGGACCTGGGATTCATTAACCTCTCGCAACTGTCGTGCCATCTGGTGAGCGAAAAAACGGTAGCCCTCATTGGAAACAAACTATTTATATGACCATGGCCGGTGTAACCTGGTCGAAACGTCGGGAAATATATTTAGGTTTTTCACCTACCTAAGGTGAAAAACCTAAATATCAAAATCTATCGCGTCAATACCCGTCTTATACAATAAAATATAATGCAACGCTAAAGTTTAAAAGTTTATTTATATATTTAGCTGGGTACACATTCTAGTTTTCTCATGACGTTATATGTATTCAGTGTTATTGTGAATCCAAGATGGCCGCTGCAACAAAAATTAAGGGTTACATATTTTTATCCTTGGATTTTGAAATTATTAATTGCCTTATTTAGTAGTTAATTGATCAGTTGCTGACAAAATAGAGATAAATTGCTAAGATACATAGTTTCAGATATATTTGAGAGTACAACTAATATATTGTTCCAGGTGATGGTCCATTAGTGCCAGTAGACGCGGAGGTGACGTTACACTATGCTGCTTATTGGGAAAAGACCAAGATACCCTTCGATACTACATTGACAATGAATTCTGGAGCACCCATAGTGAGTTATTTCTTTTTTTTCTACCAGAAAGCAACAAAAGTGTCTTTGGTGGCACTTTCGTGCCTCCACATATATTCCAATTTAACAACAAAACTATATCTACTACACCTTCATTATCACTGAATAATTTATAGTAAAGTATAGTAAATAATTTATAGTTTTAACCCAATTTCTTTAAAAAAAAATTATTTTTATTAAAAGACCCCTCTTTTATACAGTGGTCCCTAAGCTTTTTCAGTACTGTTACTTATTTTATCACTAGTCTATTACACACACGCAGGTCCTGTCAGAATACAATCACTGCTGCAGTGTTATAGTCGAAGCAGCATATGCTGAGACAGGTTCATGGTTCATACTCACATTCCTTTTGTTGTCTAATATCTTGATTTTGTTATTTATTTGTATAAGCTAACAAACATTTATGAACATTTTGTCTTTTAATAATAATAATATTTATTTAAAAAATATATATATACATAGGTTGTCTTATTTTAAAATTAATCCAACCCTTTCCAATTTGACTGTTGAAAGATATTTACCAACTTCACGCTGCAACTATATGCCATGTGTTAGCGACTGCGGTTTTTTTTTTAAAGATATTGATTAAGCGCTGTGTGTGTCTCTCTCTGTGTGTCTGGCTGTCTCTATATGTGTCTCTCTCTCAAAGTCAAAGTCAAAATAATCTTTATTCAAATAGACTTCTTAAAAGTACTTTCGAATCGTCCAACATTTTTTCCCTAGCGCTCGTTCAGGACGTCTTTTGGCTGATAAGAAGAACGAGCAAGAAACTCACCGGCTCTAATAAGAGTAATGACATTTACAAAAACCATGCCATTGCCAGATCAAAACATTTTAAAAAAAGAGACTATGGACTTTAAAAAAAAAAGGAAACTATGGTCTTATAATGCTAACATAATCATTTAATAATAATGGAAGCAAGATCATTTTTGATATATAATGAGTTAAGAAGTAATCACCTATCCAGTTGCTGGATCATCTCAAGTCCAAGTCAAGTCTCTCTTTCTGTTTGTATGTGTGTGTTTTTCATTCACACTCTCTATCCCTCTGTGTGTGTGTTTTTCTGTCTCTCTCTCTTTGTGTGTGTGTGTGTGTCTGTTTTTCTTTCAAACTCTCCCTGTCTTTCTCTCACTCTCTCTGTATGTCTCTCTCCCTATCTCTTTCTCTCTCTCTGCTTGTGTGTGTGTGTATGCCAAAAAATGTACTACAAACGTCAAATAACTCTTTGTCGGTATAGAAAATCAAGTTAGGCACCGGCCGTTGCCTGCCGGGCGTCGAGATAGGTGTGACCACGGTCCGGGGCCCCGCGGCCCGCTTCCACCTGCTGCTGCAGCCGCGGCTCGCGTGGGGCCCGCTCGGCGCCCCGCCCCGCGTGCGCCCCGACCCCGCCCTGTTCGTTATATCGCTGTACGACGTGAAGGACGTACACGCGGCCACTAGGTATGTGGTCACAGGGCCGGATCTACAATATTTTCCAATTGATTTATTGAAGATAAAAATTTGTGGTATTATTTCTCTCTTTTCAGTTACTTTTTTTAAGTCAGTTTACTTTATTATTTTCTTTGTCAAAGTAAAGTTAACGTATGAAATTCTCTCCATTTGGCAACTGGATATAGTTCTTCTTCTTGTTCTCGTTTTAATGCATGGCCTATTTGTGTTTATACAGTTCTGACTTAGTAAGAAAGACTATAGTTATTTAATATGAATGTTATATAAGGAAGTATTTAAAAAAAAATAGTTCTCGAAATCACATTCTTGATTTTTCCATTACAACCTTTCCGGTTTTCTTTCAAGTTTAAAAGTAAATTAGTTTAAAAAACTCAATAAACAACTCATATTATATTTTTACTTTTTCGTATTTGTATCACTAAGTTTCGACCTTTAAAATTTTTGTTTTATAATATGTTAGCTAAAAGGAACAGAAATTACTGTCTTTGATCCATACGTTGTAAAAATCAACTTTTGCTAGAGACGCCATCTAGTTGAGGTGCTTTTCTAGTGCTTTCGTTTTTTTTTTTAAACACTTCCTCATTGATAGTCGATCTGTCAGTGTGACAGATCATTCAGCAGTTGGTCAGTCCTTTTTTGATTAAAAAAAACCTAATTTTTAAATCTCAGGTTTAACGACTTGCCGATTGAGGTGCAAACAAAATTCGAAACCACAATGAAAACTGTTAAAGTGCTACATTCGGAAGCGAAGTCCTTATTCGCCAAGAAGAGGTACAAGAGAGCGATAAAGAACTATCAACAGTCCATGAACGTGTTGAGTTTGTCTATGCCCAAAGATGAGAGCGAAGAAGCAGAGATCAAAAAGTTGAAGGTGACAGTGTATACTAATTTAGCCGTGTGTTATTGTAAAATAGACAAGCCAAAATATGTGTTTATTATGTGTGATAATATAGATAGGATTAGTAATTTAGACAACCATTGTAAAGCTTTATTTTACTGCGGCAAAGCGCACGAGATGCTAGGAAAACACGATTTAGCATTGAAATATTATAAAAAAGCTTTGAAATTGGAACCGAAAAATAGAGATATAGGCAAAGCGCTTGCCGATTTGGACGATTACGTTAAAAAATCAGCGGAAAAAGAAAAAACTTTGTGGCAGAATGCTTTCAAGTCGGAGAAGAGAAAAGAAAAAGTTGTCTATGATGTGGATGAGGATTTTCAAAATGGCGTCCGTGATATGTGTCAAGATTTGGCGGGAAGACAGGAGTATGCTAAGATTGATTTACCGACGGGCTTAACGAAGAATGAAGTGTGTTGTATTAAAGGTATTACTAGTGATTTCGAAGGCTTAGTGGTAGATGAGGATGGGGAGGGGAAAAGAAAGAAGGTCTCCATTATTAAAAAAATGTTATATTAAAAGCAATTCAGACACTCGAAAGGGAAAACTGGACTTTAGTAAGTTTACCAGAGACTATGTTTAGATTCTATGTTATCACTTAATATTTTGTTATGGATTATTGTTTATGTGGTGTTACACAGTTATTATTTTAAGATTTTATCTTTATCTAAATAATAGAAACGCCCAAATTATTTTTAACTTATGTAAAGTTGAGCAGAGTTAATATCAATGACTTACAAGTAAACTATTAGACGAGCTGTTGGGTGCTGCAAGATTACTCGCTTAATAGGGATGATGACTGGGTAAAAAAAATGCAATTTTATATAGTCCGTCAGTCAGATAATAGAAAAATATTAGATACGTATTTTTTTTACTTCAATTTAACAAGAAATAGCTTAGATAACAGGCATTAAAGTTGAGGAGTGGGGGCTCGCTACGTCACAGTTGAGTAGAAAACGTACCATAACGTGACGTCATGCGAAATTTCAACTCAATGTAACGCCGTAATTTAATGATTACGAAAAAAACAAAAAAATACGTGTTTAATATTTTTTTACTCTCTACCTGACGGACAAACAAACAAAAATTAGTCATCATCCCTATTGTTGTTTCAACACAACTACATCGTTTTGTCGATTGTATTGCCGTCCCGCTTACTCCTTAGTAAGCGATATGGCACAACGCCCATGCGCTCACGTTTCGTGCCATAATTGTAATTCAGCGGAGCGACCGTCTAAATCTCTAGCCTTGATTCTAGCTATGACTATAGAACCCGTTGATATTCTTTTAAAATTAAATCCTATTAATATTATAAATGTGAAAGTTTTTTTGTTTGGATGTTTGTCCGTCAATCACGCCGAAACTACTGAACGTATTTTGATTAAATTTGGTATACAGATAGGTTATAAGCTGATTTAGATAAAAGGATACTTTTTTATCCCACTAAATAGTTATTATTTCTATACCTATTTTAGTTTATTATTCTTTTTGAATAGCTTTGTTTATCTAAATTTGACAATATTTTAATAATTCAGTAAATAAAAACAACCAAAAGCATAGAGTAAATATGTAAATAAAAGAATTATAACATTGTATAATAATATTAACAAGTTCATTGATAGAATCAATGGTACATTCTTATAGAATTACTAGTTTATCACGCGGATGAAGTCGCGGGCGGTAGTTACTTTGGGCATCATATTTTCCAAAAATGATGTTGTTTTTGAGCTGATGATGAAATTAACTTGATGTTTGAGTTCGAAGATAGTACAATAAAATACCAACGAATGTCCGATATGTTTCAGCACTTTATCTTTGAAACTTTAGAGATCCAATTCAACGCAATTTGAAATAAAGATGAAAAAAAAACAGTTCTGAAGTTTACACAAAACTTAATCGAAAGGATTCTTTGAAAGAAAGGTTACCGCAGATTACTTTAGAATAAACGCCATCTAGAACACAGCGCCATCTATTGGGTGTATTTGCAACCTAGATGTCAAACGATATTGAAGAATTTTATCAATGAATCAACGTACACCGCCATCTATGAGAACTTCATAAAACTAAACAGTAAATAAACACTTGCTTAAGAAACAATTAATTAGAACATTTTATTTGTTAACATTCACGACATAAGCGAATAATTGAGATGATAACTATCCTATCCAGTAAGTTGGACCAAAATACGGGTACATGTGAAATTTGATTGAAATCGGTTCAGTAGTTTTGGAGTTTATTGGCAACATACACCGTGACACAATTTTTTTATAAATATATATAAGATAGCGAGATCGTATGACGGTTGCTCTTGAACTACTGGTTGTATTAGTATGGATATGTCTTTGGATAAAATAAATGTATAATTGTTTTGTCGATGGTACCAGCCAATGAACTGATATCACTTAATAATGAATGACCGTCAACTTGAAGCATACTGTTTGTAGATTTTTCTTTGATCTTTCATTTGTTTCAATTTCATTTTACATGTAAAAGCTTATTAAAGGAGAAGAAAAATATTATTTGTTTGCAGGTGTCGAATTAAAATATAACATTTTTAAAAGGAACTCGAATTGTGAATGCTGTAGGCATTTTAAGTGATTATTTTGTACAAAGTTTTTACTATTACAAATAAATATTTTCTGATATTGTAGTTTATTTTCATTTACGTCGAGCACAATAAGATAATATCACATACATGCTCAGATTTCCAAATAGCTAAAGCAATAATGTTTCAATAATTCACAATGCTATATTGATAAATTCACCAGATACTTGACTCCATACTTTCGCAATCCGGACGATAAAGAAGATACCCAACACATAGACCAGAGATATTAAAAGAACTTTCAGTAAAAATAAAGCTATTGTTGTTTGGATCTCGCAAAAGTATATGATACAGTGTGCCGCAATTTTGATAAAAAAATCTTTAGCGAGACTGAATTCCTCAATTTAAATTTTTTGAAGATTAATTAACTCCTACCTATATTCAGCATGGTCGAAGTACGGTATCGAATTTATTGGCTTATCGATAATGGAACAAAAATACCTACTTGTTTTGGAACTTAGAAATTTCAGTTTTTTACTTAAAACCAAGAAGCACCGCCAAGAAACTCGGCGAGGGCTGCTATTTTTCTCCCTGTTTTATTTCATACAGAGCGCCAAGATTGAAAAATGACTTAATAAAAATATAAAGTCACTTTCCATTACAATATTAGAAAATATAAAAGTAAAACAGTGTTTTCGTTAATATGCAGGTGACAGATATAGCATTAAAGGACATCGCCGAAAATAGCCCCAATACCATTAAATATTAATACTTCAACAATAATTACTAATTTATTTATTACATTGTAATCAAATATTTATTTGACACGGACAAGCTGCGATCCAAAATTAATATTTAAAAGTACTTTAACAGTAACATTTTTATTCGCAAATATTCACATTCAATATACTTAAATTCTATTCAAATATCAAATATATCAAATATTATTTATTTTCCAAACAGCGTACAATTACTTAGCTAGGCAGTGATCACTACACTAGGCTCGCAGACCTGAACAGTAGTGACCGAAGGTGAACACCAGAAGAAAACAAAATAATCATTGCACACTTAACTCAAAGAATTATTAGATCATTAGGAAAATTTATAGATCATAGTTTATTATTAATTCTTAAACAATTTAGCAAGGTAAACAATAAATGCGATCGATATTGAGTCACATGGATGTAATTTACACGTCAGATCAAGAAGATCATTTATTTTTATTAGATAACATCATCGAACACAAAAATATTTAATTAAATTGACCGAAAATAAACTTAAATTTACTAAAAGCGCCATCTCTTGGTGATTTTCTAAAACGTAAGGACATAAAAACTGAATATTATACAAACTAAATTCATTAACTGTTGATAATTCACTCCTGTTTATTCAGAAAGATTTAAATTCATACGACATATCCTAAAAACTACTTTGTTTCTATTACATTACCTTTATATTTCTCGTAAACATATTAACATCATGTCATTTATGTATTTAAGGCGCCATCTTTTGATGTAAACCATCAAAAAGCTATAAGTTTTTTAATTTTAAGCTTATCAATAGGTATATTATTTAACTATTAGAATGATTTATTTGTCTATTGATTGGCTTAGAAACTTTTACAAATCACAATGAAAAATCGACTTTCTTAAAGTTGAGTTTTTTTGCTTCGACAATATAGACATTAATATCATATCATGTACTTAGAGTGCCATCTCTTGGTGGTTTTCCAAACGAGTTATAACCTCAAAATGAATTATATTTTACGTGATAATAAGTT